TGTTATGAAGTATTTTTATAGTGCTTAATGGCTATTTCTTTGTGTAAAACGACTAAATACTAAAACATACCTGAAAACACCTACACACAATACCTCCAGAAATAAATTAGTTGTCATTGTCAGTGGTGTGTCAGTTAGATTATATATTACGTTTTTAGATATTTTAGAGTGAGTTGATGCCGCCAGCTTTAGATACATAAATATTAGCACAAAGGTTCGTTTAAACGACATTAGTGAATTAGCTACACAAAGCGATTTTAGGAAATTCATCCTCTTAGAGAGTAAAATTATCTCGAACAGTTTGTTGTATGAAAATTCCTTACTATTTGGTCTAGAAGAATGAAATCCTACAAAAAGAATTAGAAGAAATTTTTGAAATTCATCAACCAAATGGGTAAAGTTAGTAAAAATTTATATAAAACTTGGTGACCTCTGGATTATACACATAAAAATTGGCACAAAGATAAAGCAAATTTATGAAATGTATACACTTAGGGAGTAGAATAGGGAATGAAAGTTTGCTGTACGAAAATGCAATACTATAACATTATAAACCAGACAGTATAAAATTATATACAAGGGTTTATTTAGTGACATCATAACGAAATATATCTTCCTCAATTATCCTTCAAAGAATAAAAAATAACCTATAAAGAGAGTATTAGTGCTCTTAATAAATAAAAAAAGATGAAAAATAAAAAAACATCTATGCTCACTAGCTCTCTATAAAGAAGTAGAAAATCATTTAAATCAATGCATGAACGATTCGAGGTGTAACGCGAACGTAGAACGTAGTCGCGGGAAAAAGCTAGTAATTTATTAAATTATTTTATGTAACTGATTAATTTTCATTGAAAAGGAATTTTTGTAATTCGCCACTATATTAGTTAAAAACTAAGAAACTCATCAATTTTAAGTTTTGCGATTTTGACTTATACTTTTTACAAAATCTGAACACATTTTATAAGAAAAAAAGCTTTTGATAATATTTGTGTAGATTGACTACAAGTTGTATAACATAAATTTCTCTACCTAGTGGTCTGCAGCATCGCCTTGTGGTGCAAACGTGGGCCTGTTAATCTGTGACGTGACGCACAACAGCCAAGAAAAACAGAAGCGTGGCTAAGAATTTAGTAATTTAAAAAAAATGTCTTTTAGATACAGTAGTAGGTGTTAAAAAGTTTTGTGTTTAAATGGGGTTTGCCTTTAACAGTTAAAAAATTATATCGTAAAATGTAACTTTCCGTAAGAATTCTATATCTGTCATCGATCATGATCTGTCATCATGTTAACCTGATGTTTTGTATGTTATTTTGTTTTTTTGCTTGTTTTTTTGCTTGCTTGTTTTACGGATAGGTGCGATCGCATAATTATTATTGATAATGTTTTTATTTAATGTTAACACTACTACTTTTTCAGTGAATCTTTAAATCTGTTGTTTTTTGGTAAGTTCGTTATTTAAACATATGTATGTAATACACTCATATTAACACTAATCATATTTTTACGTTTTTATTCATCATTTTCAATGCCCCCCCGGTTGCATCTTTGTAAAGGACTGTGAATTTTTTTTAATTAAATGAAAAACAAAAAATCCGGCGACGACAGTTTTTAGAAAAGCCAATTAGCTATCTTTTAGTAAAAAAAGCAACTTTCTAGAGCAAGTCGTTACTTCAGTAGAGACGACACAGATAAACATTAGCATTTTATATATGTAGATGAGCTCTTCATCTTCTTCTTCCCAAGCGTTTTCCTTTCGTGAACTGTCATGATAATATTTACTAGCTTGATCATAGAGGTGTGGATATTCTCTAACAGTATCAATTAAAAGTTCTTCGTCCATTGTAAACAATAAATAGCACACAAAATAATCAACTACAAGGTAGTTCACAGTGATGTTTACATCAAACACAACGAGAAAACTGATCGGACCTTCGGAATTTTTTGCCCTCTCTACCAAAAAAGACTGATTCCTAAGCCAACCGATGGACGTTGCTGAGCGGGACTGAAGCAGTGCGTGGATGTCAATCTATTTCTATGTATTTCAAATCATTCCGACAGGACTGTTCCGTGCCGATCCAATCCGATCCGATTCAATGGGCGCCCTGCTTAAAACAAAATAACAGGATTATATAGGGGTGGCTCGACCAAAAGCGTGTAGCGTTCGGCGTGTCTCGCAAAAAAAGCAAATGAAAACAAATCAATTTGTTTTCTGTAGCGTCTTGAGCGATTTCTAAGGTGTGACCCCGTCATAAGTGGACGTAATATTTAATAATACAATAAAAATAAATTAAATAGTTTGCATTTTTTTCATTTTAGGGTACCTATTATCTAAAAATATTTTTATAGAGAACATCTACTGTTTAGGAAGATTCTATTAAATTCAAAAATTTGAAGGGAATGTTTGAAAAAGTGTAGTTTGAAATGTTGAAAAAGTAATAAATTAGAGGAATATTTCTTTACGCGTATAAAATAGGTTTTTATGCGTAAAAAGTGTTTTTTTACGCGAAACAATAAGTTCTTTACGCGTAACAATTAGTTTTTTGCGAGTAACAAATTGTTTTATACGTGTAAAAATATTTTTTTATGCGTAATTTTTGTTTACCGGTAGCGAGTAGTGTTTTACGAGTAAAAAATAGTTTTTTTAAGTGTAAAAATAGTTTTTTACACCTAAAAATATTTTTTTAACATATGTAAATAGTTGTTGACGCGTAAAGGATAGTTTTTTAAGTGTAGCAAATAGTTTTTTACACGTAAAAAAAGTTTTTTTTTACCAGGAACAAGTTTTAACGCGTAAAAATAGTTTTTTACTTGTTAGTTACGGAGTAAGTAAGTAGTTCGTAGTTACGAAGTTTCACTTCAAAAAGTTTCATAAATAATGTCCTAAAATTGCGTTAGAAACTAGTAATATTTAATATTCTATTATATAATTATAATTATTCATTATAATATATTATTATATTATAATTATAACAAGTAACTACAAAACTACAACATAAAAAACTATACACAAATAAACTAAAATTCGTAAAATAAATGGCTATAATAATTATTAATTTTACACACACCACTGGCACTAGCAGTAGATTGTGTTTGTCGCCGAATATACAGTGTGTCAATACTTCCCACCCTTAATATCCTTCTTGCAGTTAAAAATATGAAAAATTGGAAAAACACGTCAATTTTATTTGTAAGAGGCACACTTAAAATGAATATTTTTGGCCTTTTTCTTTCAACCCCTTAGGAGGGGTAGATGTCACCTTTACAATCTTAAATGTGAATGGGGGTCAAGTGGCACATCGTTTTAAAGGGAGTTTAATTCTCTTTTCAGTGGTATCCTACTTTATTGCTTTTTATCCAGAGGTTTCCGAATAATCGCGTTTCAAAGGTGCAGAAACAATTAAACGTGCCAGATTTTGGTTTTCATGTTAGTGTTTACACAAAAGTTATTGCAATGGATCTCCTTGTAGTACAAATGAGTAGAAGAATATCTTACGCCCTATCTTATAAGTTGTTCAAAATGTTGTCTATTTTCCCGGAAACAGTAATAAAGTCTGTTTTCAAACACCTCCCTAACATTTGAGAAAATTTCACTGGGAATTGACTGGCATTCTGCTGTAATTCGCCTTTTAAGATCATCAATGTCAGTAGATTGTGTTTTATAAACAATGGATTTAAGATGCCCCCCCCCAAAAAAAAAGTCTAAGTGATCTTGAATGCCATTCAATTGGTCCCCTTCTGCCAATCCATGTACCTGCAAATTTCTCGTTTAACCACTGTCGGACCGGAAAAAAATAATGAGCTGGAGCACCGTCCTGCTGGAATGTTAACAATTCCTCCTGTGAAACTGATTAGAGGTTGCCACTCATTCGAATTTGAGAAAGGAAACGTTAATGTTTATGATGTTTTCTGTTTATTAGTATTTCGAATTTCGACCCCCTAGAAAAATGTAATGGCTACGTCCATGTTGCCACCTAATCTTCTAATCATTTATACTACAAGGAGATCCACTGCAATAATTTTTGTGTAAACACTAGCCTGAAAACCAAAATCTCAACGCAGGCATGTTTAATTGTGTGTGCATCTTTGAAACGCGATTATTAGAAAATCTCTGGACAAAAAGCAACAAAGTAGGATACCGCTGAAAAGAGAATTAAATATCCTTTAAAACGATGTGCCACTTGACTCCCATTCCCATTTAAGATTGTAAGGGTGACATCTACCCAGGCCAAAAATATTCATTTAAAGTGTCCCCCTTACTCATAAAATTGACGTGTCTTTCCGATTTTTCATATTTTTAACTGCAAGGAAGATATTAAGGGTGGGAAGTTTTAAAATTGACACACTGTATATCCCGGCCCGTCCACGATTCAACCCCAGCATATCTTTTATCTTCGTCTCTTCAACGCTAACTGCGCCGATTTCGCCTAACTCTTTCTCACATGATTGATTGTTGAACGGGCCGGGAATCCACGCGCTTGCGGCGTTACTAATAGGCATCTTGATAGAAACTGCAGACCTGCCGCTTCTTTTGCGTGTTTTTAATGGACAAAAATCGAAAAAAATGCTTCAAATGGTAAAATTGCAAAAAGCGCTTGACATGCGCCAAAAAAACGCAAAACGCAAGAAACGCTTTCTGTGTGGCCGTGGGCTAACCCGTAAAAGACTCTACGTCATATAACCTTTTTTTCTTTTTAGCATCTAATTTTCACAATATTATAGGATCCTGGACGCTCCAGTATATCCCCATTTAGCATTTTCTGCTCCCCTATTATTATGTCTACGACATACACAACAATTTCGTTATCATCTGGTACAAAAGTAAGTTACAAAACTGTTCTCATACATCGAAACACTATCGCAACTTACTATTGGATTACAACGTAATAAATCTCTAAAAAACACTCCCGCGAGGATCTCTAGTCGAGGAAACATGTTCCGCGAATCTGCTGGGAAAAAAAGTTTCCTCGAGAGGACACAAATCAAAACTTTTTACTCACCCTCCAGAAGGCGGTCGCAGTAGCTTCCTACACTCAGTTTGCCGCGGTAGGATCGCTGGCTCTGGTTGCCGTAACGAATTTTGGCGTCGGACAATTTCAAAAACTTGTACGAAAGTTTGAATTCGAAGTTGTAGCCGGAACTTTGCTGAAATTAAAATATAAATATGATGTAGTCATAGCTAGTACATTATTTGAAACTAGTAGGTAAATATTATAATAGTCTTTACTTGCTACAAAATGATTTATTAATTAATAGTATTGCTATATTTGTATACACAGTTAACTATTAGAACGTGGCGAAACATCGCAAGAAGTCAAGTACCCAAATGATGAAACAAAATATCCTCTGGAATGGCATTGTGTTAATATTATAATTTCATACCACGCGACGCGAAGTTTCGACCTTAAACTAACATAATTAAAAACTAAACGTTCTCTAACCCAGTGTGAGTACATATTATCAAAGTAAAACTTCTGAAGGCGGGTAAGGGGACAAATAACTCACAATCTTTAAGATGTTTATTTAAATTTAAATGCTTCAAAAAAAAAGCAGGGGGGCGACATATTTCGGGACTTAAACAATTCCCATCATCAGGCCCAGAAAGAAAAACGTCAACCTAGGAAGTACCACCACTCGGAAGAAATAAAAAATAGTTAGAGTTGTTAACTTTTCAAAAGAGAAACCTTTCGTTGTCATACCAAATAAATGTCTATATCATAATATTCAGACAATCTAATTTCAATTTTATATTTTCTTTTTAGACGAGAATAATCGTTCGTCGTATAAGAATTATTATATAAGAATTATTATATTTATTAATTATCATAGAAACATTTTTATACGACGAACGATTATTCTTGTCAAAAAAGAAAATATTAAATAAGTTATACAATTTGTAACTACAATGAGAGAGATATGTGAATGTTAACAACTCCAGTAACTTAATAATCCAGTTAGACCAGTCGTCTCGTACATAAATGCTCCCTCTTATAAACTATGTCAAATACTAGCTAAAACACTTCCTTCCATGATCAATTTTCAATCAAAATTTGCCATAAAGAATTCTTTTGAGTTGCTAGATAATTTGAAAATTATTGAAGTTCCACATAATGCAACACTCGTTTCTTTCGATGTCAAAAGCCTGTTCACTTCGATCCCAACCCATGAATTGTCCTCTATTATTTATGAACTAATTGATAAATCTAATCTTAGTATAATAGTAGAATCAGATTTAATAACAATAATTGAAACTTGTTTAGAACAAAACTATTTTCAGTATTACAATGAAATATTTAAACAGAAAGATGGGTTACCGATGGGTTCCCCAATTTCACCGTTATTCGCAGAAATATTTATGGCAGATTTTGAAAAGAAGCTATTTAAAAACAAGAGTAGTTTAATATCAAAAATAAATTATTGGGCAAGATATGTAGATGACATTTTTTGTATTTGGTCAGGCACCGAGAGAAATTTAAACAGTTTTTTAACATTATTAAATTCAATTAACCCGAGAATACAATTTACTATTGAAAAAGGTATTAATACCATCAATTTTCTTGATGTTACAATTATAAAACAGTCTAATAGATTACAATTTGATATTTACAGGAAACCCACTACCACAGACACTGTAATACATAGTCAATCACACCAATCCTGGCAAATCAAAATGTCACCCTTTCATAGTTTAATTCATAGATTAGTAATGTTTCCACTGAGCCCAGAGAATTTTAAAAAAGAGTTAAATATTATTAAACAGATCGCCATCAACAATGGATATAAGTGTTCCCTTATTGATAATATGCTAAAGAAAAAACAAAACAAAATATTAATGAAAAATTTTTAATCCGCTAATTCTAAAGACAATAACAATTATCAACCTTTAAACTACATTCCTAATTTAACTAACAAAATATCAAATAATCTCAATAAAATAGGATGTAAAACTATTAACGTAAATAAAAGAAATTTAGGTCAAATTTTATTAAATAATAAAGACAAAACTAATGTCAAAAATAAGTCGGGTGTATATAGGGTGGATTGCAATACTGTGATGCCGTGTACATAGGCCAAACAGGTAGAAATTTAGATATAAGGATTAAAGAACATGTAAAGTCTATTAATAATCTCCAGCATATTTCTGGTCTTGCAACTCACTGTATAGTAAATAATCACAAAATTAATGAAAACTCAATTAAGTTACTACACAGAGAAACAAAAGGTAGACGCTTAAATTACATTGAACAGTTAGAAATACTAAAATCTGTTAACACGAAAATAATGTTAACGACCAACAAGGATTTCTAAACACATTTTTTATTACCCCTATTGTAAACTCTCTGAACCCACCCCCATAGCAAATATATATATATAGTTACAGTGTAGTTAGACGGTTAGTTCTTAAAAAACTCTTGAAAAAGGCCTAACAAGCCGAAACATATATGTAGAGTTAAAGTTACTCTTATTAAAAGTTTTTTGAAACATCTAAAAGCGTGTTTTATTAAAATACTAATATCTAACTATTTTTATTTTTTCCGAGTGGTGGTACTTCCTAGGTTGTCCCCTTACCCGCCTTCAGAGGTTTTACTTTGATAACATAATTAAATTAACTACACTGAGCTGCAAAAAAAAGCAACGGAGAAATTTTTGGTCATATTTTTAAAGTGTTATATTTTTATTATTTTTAGCCGTATTTTCATTATTTTTCTAACAAACTGTATATTAATTTATCAACTTTAATTCGCAAGTTTTTTTATAATCTTTAATTTTTGCTAACATGGTTAGGTTCGAACATTGTAATAGAGGTATTTGCTAAAATAACTGTTGAATATATAGTTGTGTTTATATATTTTAAATAGTTTGTTTTATCTTTGTTCCTTGTTTTATTTTTGTTTATAACGACGTAAAGCATTTATTGTCGGTTAGGCAAATTTGTTTAACTTGTAAAATACCACTAGCAAATCGGTTTCCGTTTGAATTCAACGATTTTTACAAATAATATCTTTTATGTTTTGTAGATTTTCTTATGGAGATGAAAAATAAGAAATGGTTTCACTCCGCCACAAAGGTATTTTTGGACAAATAACCTTAAATTTAAACTAATAAAATGATCAAATTCTCAGTTTAATACCAGGCTTTAAAAACTAAAGAAGATTACTTTTCTATCAGGAGAGTAATAATACAATAGACGTATTTTCAAGCTTAGGTCAATACTAAGCCACCTGACATAAAATAAGCGCACTCTAAAAAAACCTATTAGCCTCGCTAATTCCATTCTGGAGGCTCCGAAGGTCTCCGTTATGTCGCTATTCATTTAACCAAACATTTCTGTTTGAGTGCTCTATTTTGATACTAAGCACTTAATAGGATTATGAGTATTAAAATAAGTTAATTAGTCATTTTTGTTTGTACTGAATACTGAAAGTAAGTATATGCAGGTTAGTGATGAGCAATACGACTTATTTTAGTAAATTAATTCACATGATTCGTTTCTCAATTTGAAACGATGAACTCATCTATTTGAATGAACTAAATACATATTAGACGTTCTATAAAAACCATATCATAACTATTGTTAAAGAAATGTTCGACCACCGGTAATCGGATAAAGTAGATCAAAGAATGCCTAGAATAGCTGAACAAATTAAGCAAAGAAAATATAGTTTTTCTACTCTGGCTGCTAGCCCACCAAGATGTGGAAAGTAATGAATAAGTAATAAACGATCTAGATAGAAAAGGAGGTAACACCTCGCTAACGGTGGAAACCAACCTCAAACAGAACTCAAGAACCTGTAAGACTCCATCCGTAACCTAGAATGGGAATTCTCTAACGGCCTAGGATACTCGAAGAAATTTATCAGGACTTGCGACCGAGAAAAATCAAAGATTTTTCTAGATTTAAATAAGAATAATCTTTTTACGAGGTCTTAACGGGGTTTTAACAGGACCCTGTCTCCTCAATGAACACCTCAGTAGATTGAAGCTAAGAAACAACGGCGCATGCAGATTCACTTTTTGTAACTCATTTATTGGTTTCTTTCTATTTCTGAATAGATTCCATATTTTTATTTGTCCTCCGTACAGATCCTTTTTTCAGTCGTTTGAAAAAATCTCCTAATGCTCTCCTGGGACTGTATGATGGGTTATAAAGGGAGACACAATAGACCTATAAGGTCACGGTGATATCTCCCATACAGTCTAAAATCTGTCCGCAATCGGAAATATTTATCCTACCAAACTTATAAAGTCTCGCCACGCAGTTCTTCCACTACAATTGTGAGATCCCATGTTACTAAAAAGTCAGATATTTTAGTTAGTTTCCAGTAAAGCACCCAAGTACCTATTCAAAAACTTTGTTATAAATTGTTATTTAACCAATTACCTTTGAATATTTATATGACCTTAGACATCTTTATTAGTGTTGGGAATAATCGGATGATTTCAATCCTCGAGATTTGTGTGTCTGAAAACATTCTCTCTTTTCTATAATTAGTGCTATTTTTTGACAGTAAACTATAGTAATCCATTATTGATTTTTTTCTTATAAGCATCTGTAGTTTTTATCAGGGTTAAGGTTTTTAAAAGCTTATTGATGTTTTACTAAATGAAACTATAACGTTAATTTTTGTTTTCTGAGAAGTTTTCTTGAAAAAGAAAATGCCTATATAGAATATTTTTATTACTTATTCTGATCACAAAACACTTGCACCTTAACTAAATTGAAACTGTATTTCTATGTAGAGGTATAACATGTAACTACTCTAAAAGTATTTTTATAGATGTGTTGCAAAATTTTACCGCCCTCATGGTTTGACTACACTATCGGGAACCGCTAAGCCGTAAAGTTCTAACTTTCGGGTGGAAAACTTCAACAAAAATACAAAGTTTGATTTGGAAGTTTTGTTCCTAACTTTGCGACGGCGACGTTGGTATCGACTAAACTTTCAGTTCTGTGAGAATAACACATCTGTTTATAATCATGGATTGGAAATCAAATTAATTGACAGCTAAACAAATTACTAATGCGTTATTAATAATTAATAGATTGCTTTGACATTATGTATTATTAAGAAGATGTGTATGCTTATAATATGACAAAACAAAATTATTAGAAGGGTTCTTAATTTCATTATTCGTCATTTATG